AGAAAAGTACAAATTCTGCCAAATATCACAAAATTTTAATGAGTAGATTTTGAGAAATCGTCCTCTGTGTACCATTGCTTTTCTCGCCGGCATGTTTGTTTGTCTAACTTAAAACACATGCCGTAACGCGAGTTACCGCTGACCGCCCGCAAAACTGTGTTCAGCCACCTTAAAGTAAAGCCACAGTCGTATGACCTGATTATAAATCTAAGGAAAATGACAACACTTTTAAATTTGATACTTAAAAAATAAGTTTCAACAATAATATCATGGTGACAAATTACTTCATAATTTTGGCTCGAATTTCGACGTTAATTAATAATTTCACCTGAGAATTAGTTACGAAATTGCTATGGCAACGATCGGCATGTCTCGGTTCCTACAGTACTCGTCACAAACCGTTGAAACAGACGCCTGCTCCTTTCCTTCCCAAATGTTGAGCTACGCGTATTTTGGAGCACTGAGACGACTGTAATACCCAAATCAACTTTGGGGAAGGAGAAAATCACACAAGTGTTTCAAGATTTGTGACGAGTATTGTAGCTTGCGAATGCAGCCATCAATGCTCATTTATGATACATGGTCGCATTTGTATCTCATTCTGCATAAGTATAAAGTGGTACGTAACTGTTTTAAAAGCCCAATTTTCCTCTCAGTGATAGAAATTAATTTACCTGTGGTAGCTGATCGGTCTCTGGAAGGGGGCTTTTCTTACTACCCAGCTTGTCCCCAACGTTGTGTCCAGCGTTGCCATTATTCTACGTAAAGGAAACCAAAATGATAAAATTCACATAATCTTAAGATGGCGGGAAGGCATTGCAGGCATTGCTTGTAGCCGATTATAAGGAATATCAGAGTAACTGCTACGAAATACTGGAGACAATGTGTCAACCGTATCCTGTTTGGCTGCTATTATAATTAGATGGCAGCAAAGGGAGGGGAAGACCGGCCAACTCACTCACTCAACCTCTTCATCCCGGCGGGGACACAAGGCCGCAAGACCGGCCAGCCGTACGTCAAAATTGTGTGTTAGAGGATAATTGGCCATCAGCGTGGAAAGTGAGTGACAATTCACCAATCGAAAAGAAAATCGCTTTAAATTATTCGCAGCATCATGAGGATAAACACTGCAGTTCCATCTACCTGTGAATCAAACAGTCTGTTGGCATTCGTGACTGCTGCACCTTCACCGCTCAGTCGATTGTTTGATCCTGGTGGAGTATGCAAGTATATATCTGACACGCCAGGCTGAAAAAGAGCAGTTATCAGGAAACCCCAAACGAAAATACTCTTCATGGTCTGCACCTGTGAAACAAAAAAACGAAATAAGATTGTTGATAATCAATTATTGATTAGTGATAATCGATTATTTAAATTAGATTATTGATGAATTAGATTATTCAGATTATTGATAATCTAGTTGAATGGAGTGTTGAATGGAAGCTTGTCTTCAACACAGGCAAATGCTCGTTATGCTCGGTAACAAAAAAACGCGAGCCAATTACATATGATTTTACCATGGGAACTAAAACCTTATTAAACGTACGTTTGAAGAGACGGGACCATTAAACTGACAGTCACGGAATCACGGTAGTAACGCAACGCCTTTCTTGAAAGAGTAACATTTCCGATGCCGACAGTATTTTGAAAAAGAAAAAATCAAACGCGCTGGTATTCTGGTACTTACTTTTTATCGAGAAATAAGGGCTTTAACAATGGTTATTCGCTAAGGATGACGGAACAGGAAGATATTTCGTCTTGTCTCTTTACGATCGAGGAAACTTGGAGCCGTTAAATAAGTTATTTTGGTCACGCTTCACTATATTTACCAGACTTCGATGCTTTCGTTTGGAGGCTGCCTTCAGGAACCCAAGCCAATTCTCAGGTATGCTTTAGATAAATGTCTAAATGTGTGAATAAACGAGGACTGGGAAAATTTGGAGCTATACCACATAAAGAATAATGCCGCAGAAAACAACTACTAAATTAAAGTTTTTGTTACCGTAAAAACTTGTTCTTCCTTTTTGAATCATCAGTTCAACGAGTCTTGCTATTGCTTTGAAAGTATCTTCTAGTGAAAGAAGAAGAGTTGTTCTATTGATGGAAAGTGTCCAAATTTCTCCTTGCGCCTTTATTTTCGAACGCGAGAAGAGTTGATGTTAGCAAATTTCGGGTTGAAAATACGGCCATTTTGAGACTCCGACCACGAAAACTGATATTCTTACTTTTCTCGAAAATAAAAGGCTTTTTGCAAGAACGACTTATATCAGATTACTTATCTACCTAAAAGCTATTTATGGACAAAAAAAATGAAGGAAATCGATATTTCAACTCCTGCCACTCGATGGTTGATATTTCCTGACCGTCGATCTTAAACATAAAGAATTAAAACGACGCTTATAGCACTTCCTCTTCCGAGCAATTTCCACCCAAGTTTATCTCGAGCCTGTATAAGGAGGTAAATATAAAATTATACGCGTTGCTTTGTTTTGTGGAACTTGTAGTCGTTCCATTAAAGCCACGTTATCCCTATCTTGCATGCCTATCCTATCCCTATTGCGCATGCCTACCTTTTTGTAGTATCCGAAGATAATAAGTTCAAATAGAGTTACAACAGCGACTAGATTTTACGGCTTTTCGACCACCATCCGTGGTACAGTAGTAGCTAGTAGTGACGGAGATACGCCTTCACTCAGAGAAAGGGACGACTATACTGATCACAGCGCGTATGGTGCTGTGTTAAAATGCTCTGGAATTTAATTTCACTATAACGGATCACTGCGTTTTTTGGAACCAGCCAATTTGGGACAATACGATTTCTGCACAGAAACAAACAAACTGTCGATTAGTTGATGGCTATTGAAAGAAGCTCGTCGGCTTTGAAGTTGTGGTAAAAATTTACATTCCGTCATGCTGAGGTTAAAAGAATGATTCATTTTCCTTGATCTTAATCCGTGCCGGCAACTCCCTCCCGTTCCCTAATGTTTAAATTACCTGGCTAAATATAGCAAGCATATTTCGATTATTGTGATTCAGAAACCCTCTTGACCTCGCGGAATTTTCCAGCATTTTCTCCCCGTGCTTGCATGCAGTTTTAGGCTCGGCAGGAGTTTTGTTCAGGTCGATTTTCTCAAGCCAATGAAAAGGGGTAGTAGACTTTTATTGAGTTTAAGACCTTGAATATTGGTTCCGCTCTGTAAATGGAAACGGCCCAATCTCTCACTCTAGTGGATGACCGAGTTTTTGCCTTCTGTAAGAGACACCGAATATCGATAGCTACAATGAACATTCCCTACTCAGGGGCACCCAACGACAATTTTCGGAAAAATATCTGTTCGGAAGACGATTTGAGAGCTAGAATTTTCGGAACATTTGTTGTAAAATTTCTTGCTTGCCTGCTTCTCCTAGGATTTTCGAACATCTAAAATATGGTATAATTGCCTATTTTTAACGGATTTTTACTCTAAAAAGGTCACCTAGAATTTTCGGGAGCCTTTTTTCTGGCTGAAATTTTCGAAAAGGTGAGTTTTGATCCCTATAATTTTCGGATCACTACACTTTCAGCTAAGAAATCCGAACAGATGAAACATTTTTAGGGGATAAAAATATGCCTATATCTACTGTTTAAATACTAAAATACCTTTACCAATGCTATGTTTTAGTGGTTTGAACTATATTCTCGTTGGGTGCCCCTGCCTACCGGATATCTCTCTAAACAATAAAGAAGCGAAACATACTGAGTAACTGCTTTGGAACGTTTTCTAAGATGCATGATATTTGGAAAATTTTAGCTTAAACAAGACTGCCAGCTGTTCTTATCGCTTGGGTTGAGTAGCAGACTGAGTTTCTTATATAAACTACAATCAACTAAGGACCAGCTCGTTTATAAAACGAGAATTGTTCATTTGCAGAGCACAATGAGAAATTTATTGCCACCCTGTGGTTTGCTCCATGAAATGGAACGGTTATTTTCAGAACACTTCTTTACTTATAACACTGAATAAAAGAAATGAAAGAGGTGTCCTGCCGCACAGCATAGGGTATGGATCACAGAGGGTCATAACAAAATACATATCTTAACAGAGCGATTTTTTTTTCTTGAATTACCGATCAGATATGATAATGATTTCTTGTATGCTGAGAACAAACCAAAACTTTTCTGAAACGAGTTTAAATATCATTCAAAAACTTTTTGAATGATATATTTAAAAACAAAACCAATCAGTAAGAAGTCAAGCAGCAAAGCATGATATAGGCAATGCGTAACCACCGGGTAACAGAAGCATAGAAAACATGACGTAACTTCTCTTGATCGTTATATTAATTCTGGGGAAGATATTTCCATCTTTCTTGTTTTGTCATCGAATGGTCAACAAATGAAAGTTTAAGTCTTAACTCATAATAGAAAATAATTTGATGGCATTGACGCAAAAGATGTTCCTAGCTGCATGCTAGCAGAAAAGCGGCCTCTGCTTGCAGGCAGGGAAAACCAAGGCATTGTTAAACTTACTCTTGCAAAATTATTTGCCTTAATTGAGACCCTGCCGGGGGGGGGGGCTCCCATGTCGCTCGTCTGCATTTTAAAATGCCTTGTGTCTGTGTTTAAAAATGCTTCACGTCGCTGTCGGAAATTAAACGAAAATTCTTTGTCTTTGTCGGAATTTTAGAAAAGGGGGATAGCGATGCGTTGTAAACTGAACCATTACAGTTCTGCAATTTCTCAGTTAACATGTCGCGTGTCGAAAACCTATACATCTCCATTCACAATTAACACAATTCACAGGACTGAGGAGAGTCCACTATAAGCTCACTAACCAGAGACGTTCTCTGAAGGTCCTGAAGCGCAAGGAAAATTGACGAAAATTACTTCTTCTTGGCATTCAGACTGGTGATAAATTATCCAAACAACCGTTCTTTGTCGCTTATTCTCAGCTTTGCCTTCACTGTCGCACTTTGGCCGAGGAAGGTTGTCTCTTGTCGCGATTTCATTTTACGCTCTGTCGCTACTTTTTGGGTCATGTCGCTTGTTGGAATTTACCCTGGCAGGGCCTCTTAATTGTCAATGGCCTCTACTCACTAGTAAGGTCTAGTTAGATGTTTATAACAACTTCTAAAGATTAATATGCAGCCAAACCGATAGACAGTTATGCGTCATCTTTAAAGACCCATCCATGCATTCATTTATCGCAAACCGTGCTTACTATATATAGCAAGCATGTTCGCTTGTTGTGATTGATAAACAATCCGCTTGATATAATGATCTTTCCCAGAATTTTCCTGCATTTTCTCAGGTGTTTTCTACTTTACGCTTACATGTAGTTTACCTCAGGGACAGGATTTTTGTAGTCAAGGTCCTACTTCGGCCTGATTTTCTCAAAATTGTAAAATAAAAATGAAAAGGGGAAGTATGTACGCTTTTACTGAGTTCAAGGCCATGAATATGGTCCCGCTCTGGGAATCGAATCCGCCCAGCCCACCGCTCTGTGGATGACCGAATTTTTGCTTTCTCTGAGAGAAGTAAATTGGCGAAAATCGCCCAAGTATCAAGAGTTAAAATGAACATTCCCTTTTGGATATCTCTGTCAACAAAAAATAGAAACGAAACATAAATTAACTTCTTTGGAACGTAATTTCTACATATCTGGCAAAAGTTTCAGCTTAAACAGGACTGCCAGCTGTTCTTATTGCTTGGGTATCGGAAGATATGTAGTTGCATTCTGGAGTGAGTTTCGTAGATAAAACCATTTCGTATATAAACAATCAACTAAGGAGTATACAATGAAGATGATTTATCTGTAGGGCACAATGCGTAATTCATCGCCATTCCATGGTTTGCCCCATCAAATGGAACGGATATTTTCAGAACACTTTAATTACATTGAATAAAAGAAATGAAACAGGTGCCCTGCCGCACAGCATAGGGTATGGATCACAGAGGGTTCTTACAAAACTATAACAAAGTGTTTTTTTTCTTGACTGCCGAGCAGATATGATAATAATTTCTTGTATGCTAAGAAAAAACAAAAACGTCCCTGAAACGAGTGCAAACATCATTCAAAAATGTTTTGAAAAAGTTAAAGAAAAAATATACAGTAAGAAGTCAGTAGCAGCAAAGCATGTTAGAGGCATTGCCCACCAAGTCGCAGAAGCAAGGGAAACGAGACGGAAATTCTCTCAACTGCTATATAAATTCCGGGGAAGATATATTTATTTCTCTTGTTTTGTCATCGCAATGTTCAAAATCCAAAGTTCAAACCTTAACCTTCATTAGAAGATATTTTGATATTACTAGCAAAAAAAAAGGAATTGTTAGACCTAGCCAAGCAAAAATCAATACCTTCATTCGCCATGTAAGGGAATCCGAGAAAGTTTTGCTTATACTAATCCGGAATCGGCGAAAGTTTTGCTTGTGGAATCCGGAACCTGGGCTTTGGAATCCGGAATACAGCTCATGGAATCTGGAGTCCCAATAATGATTGGAATCCGTAATCCAAGTTCCACTGACAAAGAATCCGGAATACATGCGGTAGCTGGAATCCAGAATCCTCGTCATGGGATCAAGAATTCAACACTGTCTAATGAGTTCTCTTACATGGGGCGACTTAATCCTTAATTGTGAATAACCTTTATCCCGATGTTTATGACAACTGTTAGGTGATTAGGTAGCTAAACCAACAGACAATTATGCGTCATATTCAAAGTCCCATTCATCGTTCGCTAGCCGTGACTGCCCGGACTATTATTATAGTATGAATAACACCTTCCTATGTCCAGCTGCGCTTCTTCACTAACTATATAAGTTTTTGTGTACTTCCATTCAAGGCGACATCACTAGAGGCAACCCCCACTGATAAGTCCTATAATTACTACAATTTAGCCTACTCTCCGCTCGCAAGCGTGAAGCCGCCTAGTTACAAATACCTCACCGAAAACGAAATTCCACAGACAACTTTGTTCTGATTAAATAATCGTGAGTCGAATGCTATGTCAATTGCCAATATTCGAAAACAGTCATGGTCAAGGGAAAAATTAGTTCAACCACAAAAGTCTGAGCATGTCAGAATGGTTTTGTTTTTACGTAATTTTTCTCGACCAATATTAACTCAGCTGGACATTTCAAACGCTCGGTCGGGGTATGTAATTAAGTTGGCCCTATATTGTAGTAAATTAATAGAGCAAAAAACATGATATTTTATGTTGACAGTTGAGTCAAGTTAGGAACCACCTAATTTGCCTTTGAAAGTTTGATGGTTATATACACGGGAAATATGATCTAGTTCAACAAGCAACTATAGAAAGAAGTTCGTTTTATTTTATCTGGGGAATCTGAATGATATTCTGCAAATAGCGGATAGGCAATCAACTTTAAAAGCTACCGTTTAAGATTTTTAATCTGCATGCACTAGTGAGAATTCAATGACAGTAATTGTCTGGAAAAATACTTCTTGGTTTATACATTTAGTCTTGTCTTGTAGCACTGAATAACGGCAACCAATGTGTTCAAAACTTTCTACAGGTCCGTTTATCCGAAAAATAAATCATGCCCACAATTTTAACCTTCCTTTTCGGTTCATTTCATTTTACCACAATAATGTAACTTGCAAATTTGATAGATCTACGCAAAAAGAAAAACACGGAACTGTCAACTTAATGATGATCATATTAGTCATACTATAGGAAAGGACTCGTCGACTTCGAAGATACCGGGTTTTTTTTAACCCGCTCCTGCTTTCGCTGATCTAGTCTCTTTGTTTTCGTCTAATTTACCATCAAGTTTTAAATTTAATAGTATTACTTCATTCTGATTAACAAGATGCCTGACAAACGAAAAAACAAAACAAAAGAAAGCCAGTAATCCGCCTTCGGAAACCGAAGACTTTCAAGCCTCGTGATCCAGCGGAGTCTTCTGTCCAAGAGCTTCTTCATGGTATGATTAAAGGGACACAGTCAGCTATGGGACCGTGCTGGCCCGGGCCGAGTTGTTCGAAGGCCGATTAGCGGTTAACCCGGGGTTAAAATTAACCCGGGTTTCTTTATCTTGTGTTCAAAAGCATTTTCTCGGATAATTTTCTGTGCTATTTTTAGAGCTTCCAATCATCAACTTGTAGACAAAAAGAATTAAAGCTGAAATGCTTTTAAGCTTTCAAATCTTAATTCAAATTTCGCACTAACCCTGGGTTATCTTAACCCAGCTTTGAACAACTCGGCTCTGGACACTACTTTTGCCAGTTTGGAAAGGGTTTACCTCAACCCGAAATCAAATCTACGCGTCCGATACATCTAGAAATCCTCTTCAATCCTACCTAGTGTTTCATTCGATCCTCGATCTTTTACTGAAAATCTCTTTTTGAGCAAACTTTTACTTATCCTATTACATTATTTTATCATATTTGGTTAAAAACAGTATTCAAAGGAACATGAACAGAAGAGGTGAGCAACGCGTAGGCGTAGGGCGGGAGAAAGCTCGTGCGTTTACCAAAATAACGAAAGAAATGTATCAGTAACATTGACGAGCAAATAATTATTATATATATTTGGAAAATGGATGGAAAAGGTTACATATATTTGGAAAATCAAGCATTCTCGACCGTGAACCTACCACACAGTACAATCACTCAGACTTCTTGCAATTTCTCACCTCTACTGATCTTCGAATTCGGAAGTATTCGCCGATTTTTGGCTTCCCTGGAAAAATCCATCGGTGAATTCACAATGGTATATAACAAATGAGTGCCCTGATGTGGCTTAGGGCCTATAATCACGATTTCGGATTGTAACTAGTTTAACTCTACAAGGTTTGTTTAGAGTATTCCGGATACGCATTTGTTTCACGCGCGTCTTGTGACATGCAAATCAGCTAAGAAATGGTATTCAATGCGCATGTGCATCAACTGACTGTGTCCCTTTAAGTCCTTTATAGACTCTGTTAGTTATTACTAGTATAAATGTGCGTATTGATGTTTCTCAATTGAAGGCTCAGTTTGCTCACGCTGAAAAGATCACGTCAATCGAAGATAACGATTCTAAAATCCAGTCAACGACAAAGAAACCGTGATATTCTGAGGTGGGTGTGGGTTCATCTGGCGACACTCGAAGAATGTGCTTCTTCCCCAGATAGTCTTCGATGATCTTCTTCTGATAAGCCCCTGCTATGGCTGGCCCCTTTACCAGTTTTCGCTTGGTTGATTTCAAACGTTTCTCAGCTAACGGCCTGTTCTTTTGAAGACTGGGCTGGTCATCCCGCCATGAAAGAGCTATTACATAATGATCATTGTCGAACTTCATGGACTCCGGCTCACTTTGCGCCAAGCAGCCATTCCATCACGGGGGTCATGACCGGCCTAGAAGAAGTAATTCGGGCCAACTTCGGAAACTGTCGACTGTCCCGCAAAAAACCGACTCTACCATCACAGAAGGTCCCCGTGACCCATTGGATAAGTCATCTGACAACGAATCAGGGGATTCCACGTTCCCTAGCGGGGTCGAAGTTTTATATATTTTTGTCCTGTATTGTAATGAAACAGTCTACCGTAAAAGTTCTTAAAAAGGGTTATAAATGGTGGTCTTTGACAACATGACCCTATGCAGGCTAATTACGTTTCTTTCTTTTTCTTTTTCTTGCCGGACGTTCTGACCAACTCACTTTTAACAGTTTCGAAGAGACAGCGACAGAAAGTGAATCACCTCTCACTCATGTGAACGGAGCCCAGACTGATTAGAATGAAACTAAAATTAAATGCTCACTAAAAATTAAATTTTCGTTTAATTGATAACAATTTTATTAACTAAAACTCTCCCAAATTGATTGGAATATGTCGTTACCCTACACCATGCCGCAAAGACGTTTTAGAATACGCCGTTGAGTTTCAGTTGAACCGCCCAACGCTCAAACGCGTCTGCTTTGCGACAGCGCCCGTAATTTGAACATCACGGCTGACCATTTTACAGCGTGGGGGCGTAAAAAAATCAAACTTTCATCGATCGACGTGATCAACAGCCG